TGGAAGCATCTGGCGATAAAATTGTATAATTGAAAATTGAATGCGAAACCACGACCCAAACGTTCCTTGGATCCTTTTCAGGGTAAATGACATATGACTGTCTATCTTCACTCAGAGGAAGAGAGATTCTATCCACAAAATTTATAATATTGAATATGAAATAATCTTCTTTTTCGATTTTAGGGAAAAGTAAAGCAGTTTCAGAATCCAGCTCAAGATAAATATTCAGAGGATTCGTGGCTGAATCAAATGTATGAACTTTGAATACTCGTTCCATTAAAATACGACGAACTTGCCACATGAAGGAGCGCTCATATTCTTTCGAGTTCGATCCTTTGAAAGCGTATATTTGATTTCACTCATGTTATATTTTATGTCTAATTCAATATGCTTCGAATCGATCCTTATGGGTCCATGAATAGTACTTGTTTGATTCTTGAATAAATAAAGATAACAATTATCATTTTCGTCGATTTTTACTTTGCTTCTTGGAAACTCCAGATCTTGCACGAAACTATCATTTTTCCATTGAGCATTGTCTTCACGATTCATCCATTGTAAGTCAACACTGGTTTTGATATTCATATAATATTTGACATCAACTTTGGTCGAATCCCAGTCATCACTTTGATGTGACAAACGGATGAAGGCTAAAATAACATAAATAAAAGGTAATAAGTAAAGTTTCAAATCCATTGAACGCTTAGTTGATTGAAGTGAACACGAGGAATTGAAAAAACGATCAAAACATATACTTTTGTAGTTTATTGAACAAAGTTTGAGGCAAAGTGACAGTAAACAAAGGTCTTTATGTAGTCAAAATAAGGGGCAGTCAGACAAAGAAAGGTCAAATCCTGGTCAAAAAGCTGCCGCGGTCAAAATAATTGTAACTTCTAACCATCATTTTATGGTTACCAAATTGGATACGTGATGTTTGAAGAAATGAAAAAACTTATTTCATGTCACTTATAATGGTGATTTCAAAAAGTAATCAAACTAACAATTGTAAGGTCAGGCACTTCGGGCTTTTCTGAACTATTTATTGGTAAAAATTTCATTTAAGCATCAACTTTACACTCAAAGATGCTCTGGTTACTTAGTTGGTATGGATGCGAAAGTAACCAGCTCTAGTTACTTAAACCTGAGAAACTATTACCGCTGGTCGGTTCCAGTGTACATCAACATCGCTGTTAACTTGAAGATCAATTCAATCAAACTCAATGGATTTTAAAAGTTTTATTTGTTTTTTCTCGGTCTTTCAACTCGCTTCATGTATGGTAATAAAGGAGGTAAAACCTGGTCATGTTGAGAATAAATTTCGGTATTTTGAAACCGAATATGGTAAGTTCATCTAAAATCTTACTTTTTCACTAACCTTGCATCTAGAAACTACTTGACTTAAACAAGTTAACTCGATGAAGATAATTGGTGATATGCTAGAATCGAACTTCAGAAATTACTGTCAAAATTAGCGAACAGCCAAGTTTAGCATCCTTGATTATGCCCGAAATCCTTACAAATTACAGTAAAATTGTCGTAGTTGATTTTTGAATGAATTTGCCCTACAGTTGAGGTATCGTACGATTGAGATGGATGCGATGCTTGAGATTTCAAAGACAAAGACTGACAAAAATTTTGATGAAAAAATATTCTCTTCTAGAGAGACTGTATTGGATAGAAAGGGCTGATTTAACATTTCGACTTAGGCTGCCACATTATATTGGCCAAAGACTTATGGAAGAGGATGTGGTGATACGCACTTTCCCCACTCAAGTAAACCTGTTTAATGGAAGCCCTGAATATACCAAGAATGTGAGCTTGGAACTGGAAAGCTCTTGTGGCTCATCGAAATCATCATTTGACAAGACGGACGTCGTTATGTTGACATTGATAGAGAAGGACTTGGATAATGTTACATCACACATTATTAAATCTATCAGAGTCGATCCTCTTTCAGTTGATTTTTATCCTCATAAACTGACCATGAAACAGTTCGAGAGTCAAGTTCAAGCTGGATTCAGAGATATAGAGGATATGTGCCTAGGAATATGTCAACATCCCTTGTCTCTATTAGACGAGCAACCTGCTTATCTTTCTCCTTTTTTTAAAGAAAAATGTGCAACAATGTTTATGAATAATTGTACATTCCCTCCAAGAGAAGTCGAATATCCGAAAATGTTGGCAGAAATGGAAAAGTTCATCACAACTCTGAAATACCTGCTTCTATTTCGCCGTAATGATTCACCAACATGTCGATTAAGTCTCTTAGACTACTTGGTAGTTCTTGAATTGGACTACAAAACAGCTTCACTGTTCCCAAAATTGACTAAAAACCATTATTTTATCGCCACTTTTGTAGATGTTGAGAAAAAACAGACCATAACTCGACAAATCGACGAATGCAGGATTATTCTTGATTAAAACCCAATGTTCCACTAAAAAAACTTTTGTGTTCAAACTTTTTATTTTAATATTCATTCTGTTTGACGATAATCTGAATTTTAATATGCTGTTAAATACTTGCTCCATTCAATTAAGAAAAGTTCAACATTTATTGATAGAAACGAATTCGAAACCAATTCTGGTAAAGTTTTCATTATTAAACATTCAAGAATAGCGACATTAAAGATCAGGACACTAGATCTAAACATTTAAGAATGCAATTTGCAATTGAATCGTAATAGCTTGTGCAATAATCTTTTTTCTCGATTTTAGGGAAAAGTAAAGCAGTTTCAGAATCCTGCTCAAGATAAATATTCAGAGAAATCGTGGCTGAATAAAATGTTTGAACTTTGAATATCGATTGTTTCACCTTTTTTAAGGAACTCGGTGTATAAGATTCCAAATGAATCCCAAAACACGAAAAGCATAATTTTTGCGAGTGTGACTCAATCATGACCTTTGACTGACCTTTTACTTATCAGCTAGTCATTCTTTCGCCTCGTTTGATGGAGCAGAAGCATATGCATAGCAGACTCAAGACTGGTCAATTCAAACTAGTGGTCGGATTGTGCGGCAGAGATGTTCAACTTGACGATTTAAAGCATGTAATCGACCATCGAACGAGTTTGAATTTTACTCTGGTACCTGTTTTAAGCAACATTATTACCATTTTCATCACAACTGAGGCAATCGTTCTGCACATGAAACAGAAGAGGGAGCTCACGATCGAAGCTGCTGATTTTGATTTTCAAACAATCGATGAAAGAATGGAGAGAAATTTATGGGAAAGAATCCGTGGCAGTTTCACTCAATCAGCTTTGGTTTAATTTTTTGAACTCTGCAGCTTAACAAGATTTAATAATGCTGATCACGATGGCGTTGATATTTCAACTGCTGAGTCTACCAGTGCAGATAATTTGAGATTTAGTTGCGATCACAATGATGCAGACGTATCTGTTGGCTCTAATCCTTGATGATTTTTATGTGAATTCAATCAATTCGTACAATCTGATCGTAATTTGCAATCATTAACAATATCACATACCTGTTATAGCTCTGTTTCGTGAGGCTGTGAGCGCCGCTTTTTGGTTTTATTATTTTATTTAAATAAAATTGATTTATGATTTTATCTGGAGTTAATTTTTTATCTCAGAGATGGCGCTCTAAAAACAGGCAAAAAATTGTTTTCAATTGACTTAATTTAACTAATAAGCACTTAAATGTACTTACTTTCATTATCAAAAAACTGATGGGAAAGCCCATAAGAATATTTTTAAGCATAATAAGCCCTAGAACTGGGCACATTTTTGCACATTCTGCATAATTTCATTTCATATTTTCTTATCTTTCGTTGGGAATCAGATAATTTATTTAACCTTAAAACGACTGATCAAGGAAAAGTCATTATTAGCAATTTTGCACAATTCAAGCCGTTTCACTCATCTTTTAACTCTTAGGTTACTTTATTATCTAATCTATCTCATCCAAATCAACTAATACATCCAAAGATTATCTCATTGCTTAATTTGTACTTCTCTAAGAGAAGTTCTCTTTGGCAACATTACTTTTCAATCAAAGAGTAACATTTAAATTCCCTTACAACTGTCATTTGCTTTTGTTTTTTTGTTTCATTCCATTTCTTGGTATTGCACTCGTCTTCATCTTTTCATTTTAATCCTCACCAAATTAGTTCCTGAAAGACTAGAAATCAAACTTCTGTATTTGTGCCATTTGATTGACAATGAAAGTTTTTTTCTGGTTAAATGAAGAAGAACCATTTGTTACCTCTGCTTCACCTGGCCAGTACTTAAAGCAGTACTACGTGGGAAATGCGACGGCTTTCAAAGAGAAATGGAAAGCCAGAATTTCGAGTTCACCAAGTTACAAAGCAAGCAAATGAACTGGTTTTTTAAAACCATCCTGTTCACGAAGTTGATTTTGGAAGAAGAAGCTTGGAAACATTTGGAATACTTACATCCGTTTGCCTAAAAAACTTGCCGGTGCACTAGAGATTTGAGTATTTAACATAGTAACATGAGTATTGTACTATCCTGTTCTCATCGTTATGATTATTTAATACCTGCTGTTTAGTTCATTTTAACCGATTCGATTCATTAAGGTACTTTCAAGATTGATACGCCCGTAGCTATGACAATGTACAATGTAATACAAAAATTATTGCCGCTTTGGCTGCACAAATTTTGCAGAAGTGGAATGCGTTCATAGTTCTAATAAAGTTCGTGATGAATTAACTACTCTCTCGGATGGGAAGAGCTTTCTAATTGGAAACAAGTAAATGTATTTTGCATGAGAAATGCATGAATTTAGACTGATATTCAACGCAAATCTTCATAAACGATTCCATTGTCCAAGGTCTTTTCAAGATTGATGCAGCCGTAACTGTGGCAATGTAATGAAATAGTTATTGTGACAGTTACGTTTGCACCATTTTTGCAGAAGCGGAAAGCGACATGATTATGAAGTTCATGCTAATTTTGTTGTTAATTTATTTTATGCCAATCAGCACCAACTTTATCTTCCATTATGATTATATAATGTCTTCTGATTAACTATGATAAAAACGACGTCTATGGTCAAGAGGCACATCGATTGTCTGAACTTCATCCTGATTATAAAAAATTCAAGGTAAGCACTCGAAATTTTATTGAGAAAAGCTGAGAGCTAAAGTTGGGGAATTAAAACGGACTTTTTGATGAAAGTAAACTTCTTTACCGATTCTTGGCCTATTTCGATGTTAAGAAAATCAAAGGATCAGATGGGATCAGATTAACCTTGAAAAGATTGATTAAGAAAAAGTCATAATTAGCAATTTCGTACAAGTCAAGCAGCTCCACTCATCTTTTACTCTTCGGTTACTTTATTATCTAATCTAACGCATCCAAATCCACTAAAACATCTAAAGATTAACTCTTTGCTTACTCTGAACTTCTCCTCTGCAACATCATTACTTTTCAATGAAAGAGTAACATTTAAATTCCCTTTCAACTTCCATTTCCTTTTATTTTTTCGTTTTATTCCATTCTTGGTATTACACTCGTATTAATCCTTTCATCATTTAAGCATCTCTATTTTACTGACCATCAAAACTATTATCTTAAAAACTGTATGAATCCATTTTTTATCTCTTGTATGTCCTTGTGATCAAATATGTGAACTTTATAAAAACAAAATTCAAGCTGTGATACCAGAATTGTTGCTAATTGCAAAAGCTAGTGAATTAAAACGAACTTTTTGATGAAAGTTAACTTATTCATCAATTATTGGCCGATTTGGATGTCAAGAAAATTGAAGCCCATCTCTCTGTAATCAGATGGTCTCATAACCATTTCGATTATCTTAGGTCTTTTCAAGATTGACGCACCCATATGAGTGGCAATGTAATTCAGTACTTATTGACACTCATACGAATGCAGCATTTTTGCAAAAACGGAAAGCGACATAAACGAAGAATTGACCAATTTTGCAGAGGTAATTCATGGATTTAGATAGATGTGAGTAATCGTTTCGATTGCCTGAGTCCTTTTGAAGATTTATGCAGCCATAAGAGTGACAATGTAAAAAAGTAATTATTGCCGCTCTTATGACTGCACAAATTTTGCAGAAGCGAAAAACGATCGTAATCACGAAAAATTCCTTACTCTCTCAAATGAGCATAAAGGAGATATCGAGGCTCGAGCGGAAAGCTTCAATGCAGCAGATGAACCTGAAAAATTGCTCACTCTCTCAAATGAGCATAGAGGAGAGATCGATGTTCGAGAGGATAGCTATAATGCAGCTGATGATGCTGATACATGCTTATGTTAACTTCATCCTGATCATAGAGACAAGATTCAAGCTAAGCACTCAAGAATCGCATCTAATTGTGAAAAGTTGCGAGCAAAAGCTGGTGAAAGAAATAATGTTTCTGCATGATTCAGACAGCCATATGAGTGGCATAATATTACTATAATAATTATTTGCCACTCATACGAATGCTAGAATCTTGTAAGTACCAATTCAGCGTTGCTGGTACACAAAAGATTCAAATGTTTAACAGAGATGCTGATCATAATTATGATGAAGTTCGTGATAAATTGATTAGAAAGATATTAAAGTTATTTCTGCAGTTGATTGCTGGTCAATCCGTTTGTTCACTAATGAAAGCCTTTAATATCGATAAGGAAATGATTAGCAAAAAGCATAATAAAAATATCATTGTGAATATCAATAATGCATTAACTCATGAGTGTCTTGTTTCATTTATACACTTGGAAGTGTTGTTCATTAAACTAGAGGCTCGTTTTGGTAATCAATCATAGTTTTTATTATTCTTGACCGAATTGGATGTCAAGAAAATTGAAACAGATTCAATCTAAGCACTACGAAACTGCATCTAATTGTCGAGAGGTGCGAGCAAAAGCGATGAAAAAACAGAATGTTTCTGCAGGATTCAGAAATCCGTTTGACAAATATTACAAGAATAATTATTAGGTAAACCAGAAATTCTTTGACAGTTTTTCAATGATGCAAATAATTAACATCGTTAAATTTATTCAAATGTTTCCATTTTTTCTAAAATAATTAATCAATATTTGCTTTTCAATTTGCAGATTTTATGGAAACAGTTTTTATTCAACATTAAATTCACAAATTTGAATGATTGTTACACTTTAATTTCATTGGAAGCATCTGACGATAAAATTGTATAATTGAAGATTGAATGAGAAACCACGACCCAACCGTTCCTTGGATCATTTTCAGGGTCAATGACATAAGCTATTTTATCCTTACTCAGAGGAAGAGAGATTTTATCGACGAAATTTATAATATTGAATATGAAATAATCGTCTTTTTCAATTTTAGGGAAAAGTAAAGCAGTTTCAGAATCAAGCTCAAGATAAATATTTAGCGGATCCACGGTTGGATCAAAAAATGGAACTTTGAATACACTTTCCATTAAAATACGACGAATATACTTCATGCAGGCGAGATCATATTCCTTTTGAGGTCGGTCCTTTGGAAAATTGATTCCACTCATGTTATATTTTATGTCTAAAGCAATATGCTTTGAATCAATCCTTACTGGTCCATGAATAGTACTTGTTTGATTCTTGAATAAATACAGATAACAATTATCATTTTCGTCGATTTTTACTTTGCTTCTTGGAAACTCCTTATCTTTAAAAAGACTATCATTTTTCCACTGAGCATTGTCTTCACGATTCATCCATTGTAAGTCAACACTGGTTTTGATGTTCATATAAAATTTAGCCCGGTCCCAAATATCACTTTGATGTGACGAACGAATGAATCCTAGAAGAACATAAATCAAGTAAAGTTTCAAATCCATTGAACACTTAGTTGATTGTCAAAAAAACACAAGGTTTAAGACAAAATAATCAAAACGTTATACTTTTGGAGTTTATTCAACTCACAGTTTGAAATAAACTAACAGTAAACAAAGGCCTTTATGTAGTCAAGCTCAAAACAAGGTGCAGTCAGACAAAGAAAGGTCAAATCCTGTTCAAGAAACCGCTGAGATTAAAATAATTGTAACTTCTAACCATCATTTTATGGTTACTAAACTGGTAACGTCAATGTTTGAAGAAATAAAAAACTCATTTCATGTCTCTTATAATGATGTTTTTCAAATGGTTACAAATTTAGTCTAGTTATCCCGAACTTCTTTGAATTATTTAGCCGTAAAAATTTCACTTAAAGCAGCAATTTTACACTGAAGGATGCTCTGGTTATTTGGTATAAGGGAAGCGAAAGTAACCAACTCTAGTTACTTAAACTTAGGAAACTTTTACCGCTGGTCAGTTCCAGTGTACGGTATATCAACAAGTATCGATGTTAACTTGAAGACCAATTTAATCAAATTCAATGGATTTTAAAAGTTTTATTTGTTTTTTCTCGGTCTTTCAACTTGCTTCATGTATGGTAATAAAGGAGGTAAAACCTGGTCATATTGAAAATAAATTTCGGTATGTTGATAGCGAATATGGTAAGTTCATCTAATATCTTTATTTTTTCACTAACCCCCTAGAACCGACTTTACTTCAACAAGATACATAACTTGATGAATATATTATAATTCGGGTAAAGCTAGAACCAAACTATGAAAGATGACAAGATTGTTAATATTAACATCTCAATAGTAATGAACCCTCAGTTGAAATAGTCAAGTCGATATGATACTTGCAAAGACAATGAAACTCATAAAAATTTTGATAAAAAATTATTCTCGTCTAGAGGTTATCCATTCGACTGTATCTGACTGTTTGAGTGATGTAACATTTCGACTGAGGACACCACATTATATTGGTCAAAAACTTTGTGGAGAGGATGTGGTTATTCGCACTTTTCCAACTGAAGTAAATCTGGTCCATGAAAACACCGAATATACCAAGAATGTGAGCTTGGAACTGGAAAGCTCTTGTGGCTCATCGAAATCATCGTTTGACAAGACGGACGTCGTTATGTTGACATTGATAGAGAAGGACTTGGATAATGTTACATCGCACATTATTAAATCTATCAGAGTTGATCCTCTTTCAGTTGATTTTTATCCTCATAAACTGACCTTGGAACATCTCGAGAGTATCGTTAAATTTTGGCAAAGATATTGTGATTATCAATGCCTAAATATATGTCAAAGTCCTTCAATTCTATTCGACGGACAACCTGGTTATCTTTCTCCATTTTTTAAAGAAAACTGTGCAGAAATTTTTATGAATAATTGTACATTCTCTCCAAGAGAAGTCGACTATCCGCAAATGTTGGCAGAAATGGAAAAGTTCATCACAACTCTGAAATACCTGCTTCTATTTCGCCGTAAAGATTCACCAACATGTCGATTTCTTCTTCAAGACTACTTGGTAGTTCTTGAATTGGACTACAAAACAGCTTCACTGTTCCCAAAATTGACTAAAAACCATTATTTTATCGCCACTTTTGTAGATGTTGAAAAAAAACAGACCATAACCCGACAAATCGACGAATGCAGGATTATTCTTTGATTAAAACTTTATGTTCGACTAAAAAACTTTTTTGCTTCAAACCTCATATCTCAATATTCACGCTTTTTTGACGATAATTTGAAATTTAATATGCTGTAAAATAACTTTGCTCAATTCAATGGAAAAAAATTGCAACATTTATGAAAAATAACGAATGCGAAATCAACTCTGGTAAAGTTTTCATCATTAAACATAAGTTTAGCTACTGATGAAGTTCGTGAAAAATTAATCATTCTCTCGAATTATTTTCTTGATTGAGAAAAATGAACGAACTTTGCAGGTGCAATCGATGGATATAGACAGGTTTGTATAACTGTTTCGATTGTCTGAGGTCTTTTCAAGATTTATGCAGCCATACGAGTTACAATGTAATACAATAATTATTGCCGCTCTTATGACTGCACAAATTTTGCAGAAGAGTTCATAGTTTTGATAATGCTCGTGATGAATTGTTCTTTAATGAGAAGTGTGCAACAAAAACGATTGAACGATCACACTCTTTGTGTCTATTTAACATAGTTTGGAGCGAAAGGCAGTAAACAAAGGTCTTTGTTGGTAAGCTCAAAACAAAGGAAGGGCAAGTCTCGGTCAAGAAGTGGTTGAGGTCAAGTTAATTTAAACTTTTTTGCTTATTTTATGGTTACTCAATTGGAAACTTCAATGTTTGAAGAAAGTAATGATGTTCATACTTTTCTCAATAGTAATTTGAAAAGTTCATTACAACTTATGAATATTTTATTAAGTATCGCTGTTAACTTGAAGATCAATTCAATCAAATTCAATGGATTTTAAAGTTTCATTTGTTTTTTCTCGGTGCTTCAACTTGCTTCATGTATGGCAATAAAGGAGGTAAAACCTGACTTAAAGAGACAGATAAAAATTTTAATGAAAAATATTCTTCTCTCGAAGTACAATTATTTCCTCGATTGGAATTGCCCGTTAGGGCTCCACACTTGGTCACAGATATGTTTGGGATCGGGAATATCGTGGTTCGCACTTTTCCAACTGAAGTAAACCTGTTTCATGAAAACACCGAATATACCAAGAATGTGAGCTTGGAACTGGAAAGCGCTTGTGGTTCATCGAAATCATCAGTTGATAAGACAGACATCGTCATGTTGACATTGATAGAGAAGAATATTGACAAAGTTACATAAAAAATTATTAAATCTATCAGAGTCGATCCTCTTTCAGTTGATTTTTATACTCATAATGTACCCATCAAATATTTTGAGTCGTTTGTTCAATGGACTGTAACTCGTGTTTGTGAAAATTACTGTGACGGAGTCGACAAATCCAGTTATAATATTGTTCATTATTTATTCTCGAACCCACCACATAAATGTACATTGCCTAACACTAAAAATTGTACATTTAATGCAAACGAAGTCGACTATCCTAAATTTATGGCAGAAATGGAAAAATTCATCAAAACTTTGAAATATCTTCTTCTGTTTAACTTACGATCCAAAACGTGTAATATAAAGCTGTTATCTAAACGATATCGAGAGTCAACTCCACTGATGGTTCTTGAACTGGATAACAAAACTGCTTCATTATTCCCAAAATTAACTGATAACCATTATTTTATTGCACATTTCATTGACACCAAGAAAGGGCTCACTTCAACTCGAAACATTGATGAATGCAGAATTTTTTCAAATTAAATTTTAATATTCGATTAAAATAATTTACAACTTTGTCATTAATGTATCAATCATTTCTGCTAAACCAAGATAATCAGTAAATAATGTTTTGCATCAACTGAACTATTTACAAGTTTTCATTCTCATCTGGTCTGTGATGCTAAACGGTAAAAGTATAGAGCAATGCTTGAAGGTTAAGTCCTGATTAATCAATAATACATCATCAAACTAATAACGCATGTCTTTGACGGTAAATGATGCTCAACTCTCCATCAAAGACTACCTTATCTACTCCTTAAAGTTCAGTCTTACATGATTCCAAATCTGGATGATATTCCAATGCAATAACTTGCACTTATTTGCCAGTGTAAAGCTTAATTTTTATTTGTCTACTTTCATTGACAGAGCCATTGAAAGCAGTCCACCAATTGGAGTGAAAAGGTGAATCAAAATGTTTGAAGGCGCAGTAAAAGGTAAGACAATTTCAACTTGCTTTTTCATGTCAAGAAATGCGATTCATGTTGATGGAAATTCTGTATTTGCAATTCAATTGGAAACTTAGCAAAGAATTGAAACAAAATATTTTGTCTTGTTTTTCTTGAAATTTCCAATTCGGAAATTGAAAGAATAATAACATTTTTTTTCTTCCGTGTTGACAATATTGACGTTATATTGACATGATGATAAATGTTCATTTTATTTTCCACTTTTTCTTTTCATTCCCTTTCATCCTCTTTCATCTTATTTTTCTTACTTTCTGAGTTTTCTTCTCCATCTATTCAATACTAAAAATCAGACATTATCCTTTTGCAACATGTTATTATTGCTGATTCAACTAAATTGATACGGAATATCATGATAAACTATTGCCAATAATGTAAACTGAATCTAACAATCAAGTGAATTGGCAAAGAAAGCAAAGAAATAAAAAAAGTCAACCAAAATTTTACATTAAACGATAACAATGCTTGGTTAGATTGAAGTCAATAAAAAGCAAAACAAGATTATGTCAAGTTACCTTTAGGCAAGAATGTACAAGGATTATTGGTCAAAAATGTTGGCAACATTGAATAGACTCAAAATTCACTTCGAAAACTAAAAAATTTCAATCATTCGAAGACGAAGCAAAGGGTCTTCCAATTGATATTCAAGACCTAAATTGAAACTCAAATCAGAATCAATAAAAGACTGAGAATCGGCAAAAATTAACAGTTGATTCAAAAAAAATTATCCTTTGATTTTGTTGAAAAATTGTTGTCAATGAAACGTTTCTCGAAAAAATTGGATGAAGATGGAAACATTTGAATAAGATTTACTTCTTGAACTTGAACTGTTTTTGTTTTCAACCAAATATCAACTAAACAAAAAGACTATTTAAAGCTTCGATTGATTGAAAAACACGAGAAAAGTCAATTGTATGAATGGTCAAACCTTGGATTTACAATTTACTTTAACCTTTCACACCTGACCATTGAAAGCGTTTTCAGTTTTCTCTATTTTTATCCTCTTCCTTTCACCTTTCATCAAGTTTACCTTTTTCTGTTACAATATTTGTTAAAACCTTAAAAGGATGAAATTGTTTGCTTTTCAATGCTTTATTCATAACCTTTTTTTTTGCCACCTAATTGTTACAGCTTGAGCAATTCCCTGTTTTACTTGAAAGATTATTGAGATTACGTGACTGAATAACTTTAGGATAGCATGGTAATGAAGTGAAGACAAGACATATTTGCCAAATTATTACATTAAAGACACAAGAATTTTCTGTTCCCTCAATTTTTCCTCTTTAAAGAAATGCAATGAAATGGTTCCTTGAAGGTTACTTTGTTCATATTGATGGAGAAATGATGGAAAAATGAATAACAAATGAATTGACTGAACTTTCCCAAACTGGAATAGAAATAATTTGAGACAAAAATATGTTTTCAACAATCAATTATAAAGTGAAATAACAAAGTCACAATCATCATTCAATGTTTCATGATCATGCAAAGTCCCGATTCTCTGGAAATGGTGAACATTTATTTTCCTATTAATTGAAACATGAACAAATTATTAACACATTAAAATGATGCAAAATTTTGCTTCTTTTTGTTTTCATCACTTTAATTGCAACTTTTAGTCGACATTTTTAATAATAAAGTCAACAAAAAAAGTGTCAATTGAATAGAAATATTTTTTCCTTTTTTTGGTGAACTTTTCATGTTAATCGTTTATCATGGGTCAACAATTTGATTGTTATCAGCTTACGAAAAGGAATTTGATTAAATTGTTTTTATCCACATTTAGTTCTCAAGTCGAATGGGATGATAACTTTTACTCCCAGAAGAAGTGAACTTTGAGATTCATAAATTTATTGTTTGACAAGAAAAGTGGAAACAATAAAAGTGAAAATTTTCACACTTGAAGACATTTTCATCATAATCTTGATCTTGATCATATTTCATCTGAAATGATGGTGAAAATTCTATCAAAGAAATTGAAATTTCTTTCAACATTTCCATCGATATCCAAAGCCTCACACTGAAAGAAACTCAGCAAACGAAGAATTTCAAATTACTCTGAGAAAATAGAGTTTTTCGTAAAACTTTCTATTCTATTCTTTTAAAGTTCATCACACGAGCTTTCAATATACAGAGCCAATGCTGAATTTCAAGGTCGATTCACTAATTATTTACAGTTATCAGAATGGCTGATGAACTTCCAGATGGAATCAAGTTGATATTGCTCGATGTCGAAGTCGAAAAATTCAGACAAATTTTTGTTCATTGCAATTCTTCATTTCTAGTTACAATCTGATCATATTGCTTCCTGCATCATGACTTGTTCATTATCCTTGTGTTTTAATTGGAATTTGACTTCTCTTATTTCAATGACTCAACATGACAATTGTATGCTTCCAGCATCGACACTATCCATTCCCTGATGTTTTAATCCTTTTCATCACCCAAAATGTTCCCATTGCATGGAACAGCATTTCAACCTCTAACCTTTCTCTCCTTCTGGGCAAAAATTGAGATTGTAAATGTTGCAATGAAATGAACGATAAATGTATTTTCATCTTTGTACTACTTGATCCTTTTATTTTGAACCTTTGTTGCCTATTGTTGAGCTTTATTTTCATTTCGTTACAATATTTTTCGGGTCATTAATTTCTTGTCTGATAATGTTGATTCTCTTTCATTTCATTTATAATGATAATGGTTTCTCAACCAATCAGTCAATGAGAAACGATATTCATCTGTTTGTGTCTATTTTTCTGGTCAAAAAGAGGAAAAATATTTATTCAAAAAAAACATTTAAGTTGAAGCAAAGCTGAGCTTCTGACGTCACTGGGAGGTAAAACTCCCAAAACATTGTTTATTTTTTGCAGCCTTTTATAAGTGTAAAGGAGTCAATATCATCATTTTTCACCTTTTCCTGCTTCATATTACCAATCAATCATTTTTCATGCCTTGAATATTCAAATCTGGACAAACCATTGAATAAACAGGATTTCAGACGATTTGTTTTGATACTTTGACTGATAAAACAATGAAGGTGAATTACAGTGCGCCATGAAAAGTTTGTAAATAAAATCATTATGTTGAGTTGAGTTGCAAAATGGACTATAAATAGAAACCAGAACTTGGCAAAACTCGGAATTATCAGAGAATCTTAAAAATCGTTTCATTTTGATTTGAAACATTAAGGTTGATAATATTATATTAGAGCGATCCATTGATGGTTACCCTCGCATAGTTAACTTAACTTGAGATGGATAAAAACACTTTTAAATTACTCTCCAGGTCTTATTTGATCAGGGAAAAAGGTTTGGACAATTTCTGATTAGTTTTTATCAAGTTGTGCGCATAACAAAAATTTTTGACGAAGAGTAACGCGTTCATATAATTTAACCAAATACAGAGACCTGCCAGTAATTTAGACTAAATTTTTCAATGGTCCCTATTGAAAAAAGATAAAATTTTGTTTTGATTTTACCAAATTTCATTTCTATTTTTTTAGCTATTAAATAACTTAATTTAATTTTCTTTCGTAAAATATCAATCCAAAAACTCAGGGAATCACCTTAAAGCAACATTTTAATTTAAATTTGCTCGATTAAGGAAAATTGAAAATCATGAATTATGTTGCTCGACGAATAGTGTGAATAAGCTATTTCCAGTGAGTCTAAATTACTGGCAGGTCTCTGTAGTAGTAAAATAGAAGCGCGAAGTCAAAGGGGTGGGCCGAATAAACTTCAAAATGAATAAACTTACAGTCTTCAAGGTTTATCAAGTCTTTTATTTTCAATTAAAAAACTTACAATTTGATTTTTTGGAGCAATGTCGAGGATTTATTGAATACTTTTCGAACTCTCTCTTTCCCTCTTTATCTTTTAAAGGCTGTTTCATAAGTAGAGAGACAAGGTTTAAAGTTGAATATCTCCGTAAATATTCATTATATTTATTTCATTTTTGGTTGAAAAGTAGATTCAAGTATGAGAAAAAATGACTATTTTATTATGGACGCTGGACCATCACGAGAAATTTTACGTAATTTTGATTTGAGGTTAGCCATGAGCTTTGCCTGAGTTAGTTGCGACTTTAAATGATAAATTTTTCCAAATTTTTTTGAAATCACATACACGTTTAGGAATATTAGACCTTTTCGCATATTCTTGCTTACATAATGCCAAATATTTTTCGATTGGACGACCCTGAGGCAAGTTTGGCGCATTTACTGTTTTTGAAACGAATTCAATTCCATTTTTATGCAGAAACTTTATGACATCTATTTGATAGTGTGAGCTAGCTAAGTCGGGCCAGAACAATATATCCTTTTATCTTGATATTTTTCAACGAATATTAAAAGATAATCCCTCAAAATTGTTAGATAAACTTTGCTGTTAATAGTTCCTGTTGCGATATATGGCTGAGAAACATTACCTAAGCTATCAATAGCTTGCCATATCAAATATTATTTGCAAATTTTGTCTGACATTTCAATCTCATCTCCTCACTTACTGAATATCTTGTCTTAGATGCATAGAATTTTTTCCCAGGAACTTGTTCAGGGTCAATGTGAACGTAAGTTTCATCGTCCATTACGATGATCTTGTTGTTCAAAATTTATTATCAACAAATTTAGCTCTTTTCTTACATCTCTTACATTAATTTTTCAACTTTTTTTTAATTCAATTTGATTTTTTGCCATTATCATATGATTTTTTATCAATCATTTCGCTTATTTTGTGTTCATCAACTATAGAAATATTATCATGAGTGCTCATGAAATTGTTTATTCAGCCGTTACGGTCGCTGCAACTATTACCATGGTGCAGCAATACACAGTAAAATTGTTAATCAAGGTCAGTACTGGCACTATTACTGTTGATGCATCACCACAGAATTCCTTTTCTTCACCATACAATCATATGAATCAACAGAACTTGAACCAACTCCACCTCCATCACCATCTTTGATCATTGAATCGTCTGATGACGAAGAGACAAACGAAACTGAGGATTAATCATTTGCTGAAGAACCTGAACATGAAGAAAAAGTAAGTCGTTCAAATGATGAATCCTCAGTTTGTTCGCTACTACAGTCGAACTCCCTCTTCCCTCTTTCCAAAAATGCAAAACCTTTTCATTCTTTAGGAAAGATAAAGAGGGAAAGAGAGAGTTTGACGACTATTCAAATGAGCATTGCTCCAAAACACGAAAATTTTTAAGTTTTTTAATAAAAGACCTTGAACTTTGTAATTTTCGTTCCATCTATTTGTTACATCTTTGACCTGCCCCTTTGACACCGCGCTTCTAATTTACTACTCCAAATCTCAATGAAATGACCCACAAAAACAAGTCAAATCAATATCGGCACGGAAGGGCACCAGAGCAGGAACACCTTGGCATATTTGTGATGCTAAGGAATCAAATGTTCAGATAACTGTGAAGGAACTGGAATTTTCAATTTTGACGAGAACTACCGTGTTGGCAACAAACTAAAGTCTAAGGTATACTCTGCTGATCAAAGCTTGAGTTTATTTTCAGTTTTTCGAATCATTCTTCTTTTCCAAATTCAGGAACTGAAACTCGCGTCTTTACCCTTGCAACTGAATGTTCCGAGCCTGAGTATGAATCTATTTAGTTAAGGTCATTGATTGATCAATTTTGCACGATCCAATTGATCAAGTTTATGCATTTATGAACATTTATTGTTGCTCTTTTTGTACATTTTAAATGACTGACTTGAGGTCTGGATCGATCCTTTAATATTGTTTCTTGCAATTAAAACACTTGAATAAAGTGAATCCAATGGTAAACTTAATGATCCTTTTCACCGAACAATTTAATTTAATGAATTTCATTTTCATTTTGTATCGTTTTCTTCGTTAGAAACTCATGAGCTTACGAACAAGTTTCACTTGAAATTGATTACATTTTTCCCTTTGAGCCGTGAAAATACAATTACAAAACATTAATTTACTTTTATCAACAATAACAGCACCTTATAACCTGTGTTTACCTGGTTAAAATGAAACATATAAATATAATTGATGATGATGACCATGTTTGAGATTTTCATAGGAAAAGGTAAACAGAAGGAAAGGAAAATCTAAAAATATCCAATAACAAAGTGTTCCATTTGTTTATTCAGGCTATTTTCATGTTCAATTAATGTTCAATTTAGCAAGTTTAAATAGCAACCAAGATTGTTGGTCACCTTAAAAGTAAATATTTAGTCAGTTCAACATTCATTTCAAAGTTCATTTGTCCATTTGCCAAATCAATCCACAAAATATTTGACCACAAAATTCAATTCATCAAAATGGTGTAAAAATCCATTTCATTTCACCTTTTATTGAAAAAATAAAAGTCGACTCCGGTTGAACAAGAATGAAAATTTCATTTGAAAAACTCTGAAAAACATTGAACCGAATTTGGTTGAATAGCAAAAATTACTAAATCTTAATGACTCTTTTTACCTTTATTTTCATACTGAATTGTGTTGCTAAATTGTTACCAAGTTTAGCAGTAATTTGGTTTAATAAATTTATGAACAAAAGAGGTTAAACTTTGGTTAATAAACAATTTGCAGTTTAATTGTGAAGTGTTTTAATGAATGTTGATGCAGTGAGATTCAACCAGAAAGATTCAAATGCTCATGAGATTTAAATTTTAGGTGAAACTGGTTCATTTAGTCTAACAGTAAAATTTAATAAAACATTATCATTTATGTTGACTGTCGAGTTGAAGTTGAGTTTCTTTGTTCATCTTAAATGTTTAATCGTAACTTTGATTTGCAACTTGATTGTCTGGCAATTTGCTCAAGACTAATGTTTCAATTTGTTTAATTAAACTGCAACTTTGACTTTAAATTGTTTCTCTGCATTTCGTTGAAATTGAATTTGAAAGCTTCTCAAATGATTTTATAATGCTTACAACTTTAATTTGCTAATCGATCATGATTTACATTAGATGAACATTTCACTCGAAAAAGGATAAACAAGGAAAATGTTCATTCACTGATTAGTGGCTATAAGAAGATAATTTATATTTAGTTGACAATTTGATATGAAAATTAAATCTCGCAAGTAAAGTGATGAACATTTTCAGCTAATTGAACTGATGAACGTTTCAAAGATGAAAGTTAATGATTTTGTTAAACTATTTTCGCTTGAATCAGTCGAGAAATTGTGATTCATATTATCATGGAAATGATGATGATGGTGATTAAGAGATGAAAATGTTTCTCAAGACAATTTGTAAACTCATTATCTTTATTGGTTGATGATAACAGGGAGTGAAAAAAAGGTTGAGCCAAGAGAAGCAGATGAATATGAAAAGAGATTTTCATTTTTCTTTTCAAAATTATCCTCAGATGGAACAAATGCTTTCCTTTCCTGAGGCTGGACCGAGAATAGAGTCGTGAACATGATGTTGATCTTATTTTAAGTTCATCAATCAAAGGCTTACCTCAAGTGAACATGGAAAGTAGAGAGAGAGAAAAGAAGTGAAATTCGTGAAAAAAAGATGCTTTTGACATGGAATTTTGACTGGAATAGAATTTTCTTTTTTTCCATTCTTTTTTCTTCCTCACCATTTTGTGGTGACGATAACGTCATCATCATCAACAACATCGTCATTATGAGTTTTTACCTTTTCAAATGATAATGGAATAAAAGTTTTCTCTGAAACTATTTTTAACTTGTCGAGGCTCATTTCTTGATGACATTGTTCATGTAATCCAAGTCGACTGATTGAAACAAGTTTACTAAAAAATGGAAAAATATTTTCTTCTCTTTTCAGACATTTTATTGGAAGATGAATTATTCATATTGCCACGATATAAACCCAAAGATATGGCTAAATTGGCCAGCACAACTCAATTCGCCAAACATGAACTTCGAAAAATTTATCAAGGATTCAAACAGGTAAACATTGATTTCGATTAAAAGTTCAATTTTCAGTCAAATCGATAATTTTGGCGATCTTCTTTCACTGTCTTTACCATCATTTGTCTTTAGGTTATCAATCATTTCAATTGTTCACTGCTTCTGATTTTCATTCCTATCCAATGATTAATGATTTTGCCATCAACTCATTCACAATGAATACATCAACTTGGAACATCATTTTTATCATTTCTCTTCTTCAGTGAAAAATGAACATTTCAATATTGATTTCAATTTCCTTTCGACATTTTCATCTTTCAAATTATCAATAAAATCTTTATTAGCTTTATGCCATCAATTGAATACTTTTGACTCAACATTTTGCTCTTACAAAGCTTGAATCTTGTTCAGTTTAATTGGATTGCAAATTGAAATTGGTTTACATTGAAATGTTGATATTAAATGGAAATATTATTTTCGCTCAAACATTACTATTTGCTGTTTGGCTTGTTTTAATGCTATTTTTATCATTTCAAATTCATCTTTTATCCTGAATGCTGATCAAAGAAAATGAGATTAAATTGAAATCAAAAGATATTGAAATTCACTTTTTTTGTTTTCTTCTTTTCGCTTCTCATTTACATTTTAATTATTTTGCTTTTCCATTTTTACTTGATTAACTCAATTAACTTGCAATCAGATTTTCGAGTTGAAATAAGATTAAGTTAAGCAAATTATGTTCAGTCCAATGAAACATTTTCAACAAATGATGGAACAAGATTAACCAGGAAAATATGGAAATGCTGAGCAATACATTTATCTTTAATATAAATCTGCAATTATTTGGATAATTTAATTTAAAATGGAAAAGAAGTAAACAGAAATTCATTTTTCCAGTTTTTCAATTTTCTGGTTTGCTAATTGTAGAGGAAAATCAACAATTGATGAAATTTTATTAAACATTTGGAAAAACAAATTCCATGAAATTGAATAGCTAATATTTCAATTTCAAGATTAAGGTAAAGATTTGGAAATTTGGTGAAAAATTGATTCGAAAAGATTTACTGAAAAGATTTGACTGAATTTTGCATTTGAAAGGAAAAATGTTTAATATCAATTTTTCATTCTTATTCAGGAATGTCCGAATGGTGTTTGCAAAGAAGATTCATTCAAAAATTTATTCTCATCTTTCTTTCCACTGGGAGGTGAGTTCTGAGGATTCCCAGTCACTTTTCAGGGAAAAAAGATTTTAATTTTGATTCTCTTCTTTTCTGTCTCAGATGGTTCATTATATGCATCATGTGTATTCAATGCCTGTAAAAGGTATCTCAACAAAAGCTCAATCAATTTTGAAGTGAGTTTTTCAAATTTCATTTTCTTGTTCAATTTTTTCTTCTTTTCATTTTCTTAATGAAATTTTTCTTCTCAGCAATTCTTGACCATTTTATCGATGCTTTCTCGTGGCAATTTAAATGACCAAATTGAATGGGTGTTCATGTTGTATGATGTTCATGGTGATCAAGTGATTACCAAAGATGAAATGATGATTGTAGTTAAAGCTGTTTATCTGATGCTTGGTTCAAGTACTCAACCTCGAGTCAACGATGCTCATATACGTCAACATGTTGATAGAGTTTTCAAGGTAATTCTGATGAACATGATATTCCCTATCATCTGTATTGATATAAAAATGTAATTATGATGATAGTGTTTACATGATATAATAATTGATCAATATTCACTTGCAATTTCAACGTTGATTACACTGATGGTTAATCTGATTTACTGATTCATCAATGAATGTCTATTATTATCTCATTGTCATCATTATCATCATCATTTTCTTGTCTCTTCATTCATCTTTTTTTGTTAATTCATTTTGCTCTTCATCTTTTTGCCTAAACTGCTCATTGCCATGATAATCAGGAAATCGATATCCATAATCGAGGCTCTATAACTTATGAAGATTTTTATTCTTGGTGTAAAAAGGTAAATGTTCATTAAACTGTTTAAAGAAAATATTTAAATTCTCATGAAAAAATCACCTTTCATTTCAGGAAGATCGGATGCAATCTTTTGCCATTTTTGACACTGTCTTTTATGAGTGAAAACTGGAAAAATTTCACTCAAATTGAAATATTTTTTCTTCCTTCTTTTTCTCATCACTAATTTATTGGAAACTAAATTCATTCACTATTCAAGTAGATTCATTTGTTGATCACTTTTTTGACGCACAATACATTGATGGATAATTTTGACATAATATTACGAAAGGAAACTCGATTATCTTTTTAAAGATACTGGACAAATTTTAAATGAAATGGACGCTTTGGACAATTTACTGATTAGAAAATTGTATAAACAATGATTTGACAATTGTCGATCAACAATTTTAAAAATTATTAACATTGATTACATCGTCTATGATTTATGATTAAAAGTTTAAATTTTGAAACCAATTTCGTTAATGATTGTCCATCAAAGATTCAACTCTCAAATCGAGCGATAATTTTTTATGTTTGAATTGCTTTTTCATCTCAAATGAACATTATTAATGTGTCAAAAGATAAAGATTTACACTTTGGATTTCGCATTCTGACGATGCTTTTTTCGTTAAGAATTGGTCTTTTTTGATGTCGATTGATTGGATTGAAAAAAATAAATCTATTGCAATATTTGATATGCAAACTAATTACATTGTATGAGTACACTGGGCTCAGATTTTTCACCCACCTGGATTGCTTCATTTCTGCAATCATCAATTTTAATTTTTCTGTTCATCTGATCTTCCAGGGAACACTGTTGATTGATTATTAACCTTTGACTGGCGATGTTGAAATGCTATTATAACTCTTTATGAAAAAAGGTCACGGTTACAGTTATTATCAGAATTTTTTATTCAACTCTTTAACTTGTATTTCAGCTAACATTTCAGTTAGTTGTATATGTAAACCAATGATAAAATCGTATTTTAGAGTTGATTGAAACTGTCTTTATTGAAAATATATCTGTTTTCACAAATCGAATGTGGTTTCAAATTTCGTTGAAAGCACTATTTATGGGTACAATTGTATAGTTGAAAATGGGATGGGAAGCTGTGTAACCTTTGTATCCCTCATGAGAACGAGTTATGGTGTGCTTGTCTGAAAAAAAGTGAAAGCAGGTATAGATGTTGGATGCCAATTTATTTTAATTTTACAATTTTAGGGTTTGCGTTCAATAAGGATTACTATTACAATTTACAGTATAAAAGTTGAATATGAGTGATGTATAAAGGTAATGTATTAGTCACTGGGATTACACAGATAAATCAGTTTTTAGACAAATAAGATGAGGTACTGATGAGTTGAGGAGGAATTGAATCTCATGGTAATGGTTAAGTTGCACAAATCAGTTGTTCAGGTAATCCAGATGAGTTGAGGATGGTTTTAGAATGAGTCTAATCTGTTGATGATTTGGTTGCACTGTAACTTAGTCTAGTCACTATTTAACTGTTCATACACTTAACATGTAAATATCAGATACTTAATAAGTTATACATAGATTATAAGACATATTCTGGATGATATATTTTGTGGTTGCACGTAAGTTAAAGTTGAACATTTCATAAACACTATTTTATTCAGTTGTACAGTAATTTGGCCAGGGCTTCCGCAGGGTCCGAAATCGGCAGGCAAACAAAGGATTTGTCGGCCATTTTATGCTGGATGAGGGAGAAAATCTTCTCCCTCATAAGATGGCCGACCCAAAAAAAACCAACCAATTGTGGCCTTTCCCTACCTACTTGAGGTAGGGAAAGGTAGCACCAAACCAACCTGGTTAAAACCAGTTTTTTTTACAGTTGACCGGGGCACCAAAAGAACGTCCTCGTTCTGAAAATATAAACTGAAAATATGGATTAATAATATGAAAATAATGTATATGAGGATGTGAGTTCGATAAAATTTCACCAATCATTAATAGATAAATTGGCGTTAACCATTTTTCTTATGGTCTCAGAAGAAGGGACGTAATTGATATAATCAGCTAATTTTAAATACTCCATGTATCCTCTAAGAGTGACTCGGGCATCTCTTTCTGGAGAATGTCCAGCGATTGTATTTGTTGGATCATCTCGTTTCAATTTAGGATTCTCGGGGAAGAAGAATTTGTCAACATAATTTAACCCTAACGGTTGCTGACCAGGCCATAATGATTGTAAATCAATCCAAGTAATATCGTTGTCCATCAGATGAGTTGGCGTAAATTTTAATAGTCTTAAATCACCATCTCCTTGCGTGATGACTCGTTTACCTCGTAATATATTTAGGACGGTTGAACGGACTTGATGAAAAGGTAGACCTGTTGCTAAATCGATAGGTTGTAGTCCTGTAATTTTGGTGTTTGAGTAAAACGAATTTTCTGACTTAACTTCGGCATAATAAATTGTTTGAATTCTAATTATATTTCCAAACCATCCAGATATATGGATATTACCGACACCTCCACTTCCATTTCCTTCCATGTCCAATGACAGTGTAGGTAAAGATGGGGAACCAATTGGTTCTAATTTTTCTAGAATTTTTGGATCATATTTTCCGGGTATCTTGTACCAAATGTTACCTGTAAACTCTCTTCTTAATTTTCGTCGAAATTGTCTTCTTTCTTCTCTTCTTGCGTTAACAGGTTTAATAACAGGCTGGATTTGTAATGTAATTTGCCCTATTCTTTTGACTAACTCAGGACAATTTTTTCTAAGGTGAGCGCTGCTTGAACAAAATGAACAATTTCTGCATTCAGTTTTGTGATGGTCTGGTTCAAAGCATAAACTGCAATGAAATAATGGAATAGGAGTCAATGAAATCCATCGAGATCTTCCTGTTTTTTGCTTAATTCTTTTAGCTATCTCTTTAATTTCTTTAATCAAATAATTGTGTGCTCGATGTATTGCTCCTTTTGTATGTGCCGTTACTGTTAATTTAGTATATTGGTGCATCTTGGGAGGTGTACCTGACAGTTTACATCCTTCTACCCTTTTCTTAAAAACTCCATAACTATTGACGAAATTCCAAGCGTAGCAGGACAGGAGTAAATAATGTTGATAAAGTAAAATAGGTTTTGTTTCTCTCTCTCCATCTGTGTACTTAGGATTTCTCCACCTAGGTTGATTTCTCTCCATCCTGTTAGATAAAATAGAAGAAAAGAATATAATTAATTAGTCCCAATCACCGGGACTTTATTTATGACCCATCTCTGGTCATTTTAAACTTAACCCATTCACCGGGCACTTAATTTTATTATTTCTTTTTTTAACCCAATCACCGGGTATTTGTGTTATTATATTTTTTTTTTTTCAGCCCACTCACCGGGCTTTCAATTTTATCTTTTTATCTTTGTCATTTATCGAATTTAGCTAGTGTTTTTTTTTGTAGCCCAATCACCGGGCAGTTTTTGTCTTATTGTTTTTTTTTTTTTTGTTTTTTGAATTTTGTGTTTTTTTTTTTTTATTCAATTTTATCATTTCCCATCACCATTATTTCCCAAAATTTATTTTAATAACATTTATGTAAAGGGATTGCTTCTGGTTGTCTTTTATCTTTTGTTTTATCTGTTCTGTTTGTCCTGTTATCCCTCTCATCGTAAACTATTGAGTATACTGTTCGCTTTGGGGTGAACATAAAACGTACACTAAGAGAACATAACAAGAAGCAAATGGTTACTAATAGTGAAATTGAAATCCATTTAACATAATCAAATTTCCAAGTAAGAGTGATTTTCTCGAAACTAGAAAGTACTTTCTCGTGAGCTGCATCTAGGAGTTCAAATTCTAATGTTGGTATATTGATTTCTTGATAAGCTGGTTGAAACAGTTTTAAATTAATTGCTTGAGTATGTTCCGTTACTCTAGGACCTCTAACGTAAATGAAAAAATTGTTGGAAGTATACTTCATGTCATCAATGCTGAAATTGGTATATTTTGATAGTTTGATAACCTGATTCGGACATGAATAGGTACCTGAGTATATTTCAATTTTATGTCCTGCACAATGAATCAAATAATGATCACCCATATTTTTAACTTGGATTTTTTCAGCCACAATGGTTTCATTTACGTTTCTAGATACACAATGCTCATCTCTCCAGAGCTGTGTTTTATTGAACTTATTTGGGCAAGTTGACACTTTGGTGAAAATAGGGTTTGGTGACTTCAACTCACTTTCCTCAATGTCACAGAACTGGTATGTGGTGGTATTTACTAATAAGTATTCTGGTCCTTTGTATTTAATTTTACATGTATGTGTCGCATTGGTTTTATATAACAAAAATGGGTCCGCTTGAAAGATTTTTGTAACCTGGTCTTGCCTAAAGGTTGTGAAATTCAAACTTAATATTGGATATTTATTATCATTGTGAACTTTTACTGAAATTTTTTCAATCACTGATAGGTCACAATCGTCACACTGCAGATTTATTTTTAGAGACTTGAAGAAGTTACGATCTATTGTTGGTCTTGATTGTTTAATACTGTCATTGAATTTTTGCATCGTCATTAACTGAGTATTTGAACCAGTTATGACATCAGCTGCTTGAAATGAAACAACCGGTATCAATTTTTTTATCATATCAATTTGTTGCTGTTGTTCATTCAGGAGTTTTGTAACGTTGACTAAATGGTCAAACTGTGTTTTCATCGCTTTCTTGTATTCTTCATCTTGTTTTGTAATGGCTTCCAACACGGGTTTAAAATCGATGTCAGGTGTCATGACACTTTTATACATGTATGCTACTCCTGTAAGTACCACACCGCCCACCACAATAGCTGTTGACCCAACAGCTATCGCAGTAAGAAGTTCTCTTTTTATTAACTGTGGAGATCTATCTTCCTTAGCTGTAATTTGCGGGATGAATCTAATCGGTTGAATATATTTCGTGTCAATGAATTCGGAGCAATACCCTTCTAGAGCATGTAAAGAAGTTCTCACGTATGGACATACGCGGTTATTTAAAGGACATCCGTATTTGGGGTTTGATTTATTTGTTATTTTGCCCCATTCGTCGCTGTCATAAGTTAGCATTTCTTTGCAAGGATTTGAGAAAGCTAAAATTATTCTTATTTCTTGTGTTGCTTTTCTAGGTTTGTGTTCTGTTTCCTTCCATAAAATTGTATCTCCAGTTATGAATGGGTTATTTTGTCCAGCTACTAAGCAAATTAGTCCCATTAAAAGTATTAACGATGTTGATAAGGAAGAGCGGTAAGGTTTTATTTTTTTTACTCTATTAATACTAGTTTCCTTTTGTGAATTTTGTATTGGTCTATGGAAAGGTTTAAGTTGGCTTCCATGAGCCCTTTTTATTTTTCCTTTTTGACCTAACGGTAGAATTCTGTAGGTTGTTTTTCCTAACTTTTCTATTATTTTGTATGGACCTGAGAATTTTGGAGTTAACTTCTTTGATCCCTGATAAATCCTATACATT